TGCAGATTTAGAAAGGTCAAGAAGCCTGGAAATAAATGATCTGCCTTGAGAAATTACTCTCATTGCGAAATTAAGGTGCCCCAACAGAGAGAGCAATTCCCTTTTTGAAAAAGATTTTGAATTTTTTGCGACTTTCATAACTTGTCTTATCCGGGATAATTTCTCGAGGGGGAGTGAAGCTTGCATTTTATTTGAATCGAGAGAAATGCCTAAGAATTCAATGACTTTGACTGGACCCACGGTCTTTTCTTCCGAGAGAGGAACGCCTAATTCAGAAAAGGTGCGTTTGAGAATCGATATGGAGAAGTCTGATTTTTTTTAAGGAAAATTTACTAGAAGAAAATCATCTAAAAGATGAAGGACGAATGATAATTTCTCGTTATTAAGAAGAATCCAACACAAAGCTTCAGACAAAGTATCGAATATTTTTGGACTGCTACGACAGCCAAAAGTCTAACCGCAAAATACAATGTTTTCCTCCACTGGACGCCGAACAAATGCCACATGGCATAATTTTAAAAGCATCGGAAATATCTGCTTTTGCAAGCCAAGCTCCACGTCCTGCCTTTTTAATGAATTTGATAGCGTCATCCACGGTGTTGTAAAAAAGTGAAAACGGGGTTAAAGGAATAAGGCTATTAATGCTGTCAGCCAAACCATTGTGGGGAGCAGAAAGATCGATAATTAAAAGTTTTTTACCCGAATATTTTCGAGTGGCTACCCCTATAGGACTTATCCTAAAAGTCGGGAAGGGAGAATTGTCAAATGGGCCTATCATGAATCTCTTTCTCGAGCAAGGTATCCACAGTTTCCGGCTCCTGAGACGCGGACAATAGGTTATGGCAATGGAAAGATACAGCAGGAAAATGCAGCAGCCCAGCAAAAAAAACCCTGAACAAGACCAGTCAGTAAATAATCCACAAAACAGCGGTCAGGACCCAACTTGGGAACGTTTATGGGAGTTGATGGTTTTATTTCTTTCGTTCCATTTTTATGTAGCGTGTTCTCCTCGGGCACACGGACTTTGGGTGGGCGTTCCCACAGTAAAACGTGAAAATATTATGCATCCTACAAATATTTTCATTGAAATTAAAGCAAATAGGAGTAGTAAAGTTATTCACCTGGGAGCCAGTTTTGTAGCTCGGGCCAGGATGAGACATGGAGGAAATAGGCTTAGATTTAGAGCATGTTAGTAGAATGTGAGAGAGAGCCACAAACGGAGCAGGACAGGATTTGGTGACCTGTAAAGTGTCTACTTATGAGCGCGAGATCGACCACGGACCAGTCTAGTCTCTGATTGAAGCGTTGAATAGGCTAAAACATAGCCGCTTTTGCAGAAAAAGACTTGTGATACTCATAGAATAGAACCCCACCGTAAGAGAGAGCTAGGTCAGAAATTATGGCCAGATAGGTATCTAGTTCGGCTCTGCGCGCTGGATAGACTTCACAAATTACGTCCCTATAAACTCCGAATGCGGTAACGAACTCAGGAAAAGTCAGGATTTTTGAAAGTCTAGGATCCCCATCTTTAAGCTCCACATGCACGTCACCACAGTCTACGACACGCCGTTCACACAGCTCGGAGCCTAGGAGTTTAACGAGGTTAATGTCATTACCTGCCAATATCTGTCCCCTCAGCTGATGAGAGATGGCAGCAGCTGGTGGGAAAAAAGGCGAGCCAGTGGAGAAAGGTACGGCGGTTGCTAGGGTCCTTTTAGGTAAAAATTCCGTGGTGACGTCATCACTTTGAGGCTGGCGCGGATGATGCAGGTCGGAGACAACAGCGGAAGTTGAAGCCGTGGTGGACGTCGAGAGGGAGCCGTCTTCCAGTGTTGATATCCTAGCGGACATTCCGAGGAGAGAAGATTGGATATCAGAAAGTGCCATGAGCACTGGATCATCTGAAAAGCACTTGGGCCTGGACGAACAGGGCAGGTGACTCGTTTTTGCGCTGGGGCTTTGTTGGCCGTCTCGGGATTTTTTCGCTTCGATGTGTGCTTTTTTCCGGACTGGGGAGGAGGCACCGGCGGAGATTCAACGACTGGAATGGCTACAGAATCGCAGAGGAGGGCAAATAGGTCCTCATGAGAAGTGCCACGCGGAGACTGAATGTCGTTTAAAAATAGGCTTTCCAGTATTTTTGCCACGGGCCAATCGCCGATGCATAGTTGGGACGATTTATTCGCCAGCCGCCGAGAACTCCTACGAGCGGTGGCGTTATCTTCCGGGCTGGCATCCTGCCTCTGATCTGTTTGGAATGATGATGGCCGGGTTTCCTCAGAAGAGTCGTGCCATTCTTCTTCGACAGCGGTGGAAGTCATAGCAGACAATAGAATGAGTGAAAACAGTACTTTTGCGCTTAACAACATAAGTGATTTTTTTAAACAACGCATGAAGCAGCAGAAGCGAGCAGCAAGCATGAATTGAGCAAACTGAATGTGCTTTAAATGGTGCACTTGTTTGAGCTTTGGCCATTGAGCAAGGGGAGTAACTCAGCTAATGCAGCTCAGCTGGAGCGGATCAGCTGACGAGATTGTATTAGCAAATGGCATAAACAGCGTCTTGACCTGGCCTGCCAGAACTGACGCTGACGCTCAATTAGCCTTTCGCCGAGCCCCGCCCCCCTTAGTTACTGTTGCTACCTCCGTCAAACAAATGGTCAAACACGGGCAGCGCGACAGATTGCCATGACGGCAAAGGGTATTCCCGTGCGTGTCAGTGACCTTTTTTGGAGCAATACCTCCGCGATATCAAGCAAGATCGAAGCAAAAGGGGTTACGGTATGCGGTGGAGGGATTTATTCCAAATATAAAATTAAGAAATGAATGAGACACAACTACTATTGATGCTAATGCTTACCAGTCTCAAGAAAAATCAGAAAAACCCCATGACCATGCTAAGTTACCTCAAATGCAACCAGCACAGCCTTGAAGATTTTATAAACTGGTTCAGTGGCTAATTGTTTGGAGTTCGAAATATATAACTTGCGCTGCATATTTATTCATTTTGCCTCCGATACAGGATACAGGAGTACACGTTCGCTTTAACAAGCAGGTTGTTCATTACCACAGCAACCGATTGCGTGTCATGCTCATGCTGAATGCGATTTTCGTGTTCAAAAAGTAACTAACGTTATGCATAAGAGACGGAAAGAGGCAGAGAACCATAAGGTTATTTCTATTCGTTACGATATTGATATATGAACTGATGTTGTCATGTAAGCTTTATGCTTTCCCCGTTGCGAACGTCCTCTAAACTGTAGTCTACGGTGCTGCACTGCTGCTCATTTTCCCAGAGAATATCATGGTATGTTAACAACAACCCTTTAGAAAATGTACAGTAAGTCCTTTGTGGATCCTCCTGATCTGCTTTCTCCGTGCTTCTTTGACTAATCTCAGTCGCACGCACGCTGCACGCGAGACGAGTTAACCATGTTCGACACATTTAACTGGAATTGGGGCGTCCACACTGTTTAATATAGGCACGGCTCGCGTTGTGTTTTGGGCTTTGGAAAGGGAAAAAACACAACTTCTCCAGACAATCTCTCGGGGTATCATGTGTCCGATTTACATACGCCGTGGGCGCACCGCTTACTGTTTGACGGAACAGCTCACACAGTAACGGTTGCTATGATGTGTGATTGGACAATGGCCATTTTGTGGGAGGGGCCGGCGAAAGGTCAATTTAGTATTCCTCCACGAGGCGCTCGACATAATAAATGTAATAAAACATGGAGACACTCTTGAACCTCAGAGTGAGTAATTTTATTGATAAAGGCAAGAAAATACAGCAAATATACAGCAGTTTAAAGTGAGATCTGTGTCTCTTTATTATTATTATGTATCTGAGAGAAATATCAACAATAAAGCCTTACACATAAGATTGTTTTAAACCTCAAAAATCGTCAAGCTCAAATATGCAGTATTTATTATGAAAAAAAAAACACTAGAAGAGCAAATAACACACTTGAAGAACCTTTAAAGTTCAGCGTTCTGCTTTAGATTTCAGTTGAAAAGATACAAATATTTAAAGCCAAAAATTAATAAACCTCACAAATTTATATGGCAAATCAGTTTGTGAGAAATGACATCATCAATCATGCATCTGATGTGTGAATATGTGCTTGATCTCATTCAGCTCTTCTGGATCTGATGTCATAAACCAGAATGATGACAGTAGCCACGCCCACCAGAGCAGAGAGGACCAATCAGATCACAGCTTCAGTAGGACCACACCAGTGGACAGAGTCTGAGGAATAAACACATCAAACTGACATCAGATCAGTCAATAAACACTAATATCAGCGCTGACATCAACTAATATTTATGAATACACAGAAATATGATCAAATCTAATCAACAATCTATTCTATTGCAAGTGAGTTTTTTTATATGGTCTGTCATCTCAAACTATAGACGATTTAACAATTCAAGAGGCAAATAAATAAGAATATTTGAAAGAGAAGACAAATGATCTCTACTCACTATAGACAGAAACTCTGAATACTTTTGATCTTCCTGAAAAGTTCAGTAGTATATATTCTCCTTCATGATCAGTTGTGATGTTTGTGATGGTCAGAGATCCAGTTTGATTGTCCAGCTTCAGTCTGTCTCTGAATCTCCCATCAAGAACATCATCATATACAGTGAATCTGTCGGACCGTTTATTGATTGCTGCTATTAAAGTCTTTTCATCTCCAAACCTCCACAGAATCACATCTTCAAGCCTAATTTCAGTGAGACCAGAGTTTAGAGAGACTGAATCTCCCTCCATCACTGACACTGACTTCACTTCATCTGTCAAACACACAGAGAACAAACAGAAACAGGGTTTGTCACAGATTAATACTGTTAAATCACTTTATAATGATTTACTAAATGGAATGGTTTAAAATTTACATTAAAAATAAACAAACAATAAAAATAACAAAAACAAAATAGTGCATGAATTAATTTAAATTGTTTAATTACAAAAAGGGTGTAAACGTTATTTTAACTCACCAATGACAGCGAGAATAAAAATAAAACTCTTAATCTGTAGTTTATCAAGTTCAGAAACTCTGAATGCTTTTGATGTTCCTGAATACATCAGTAGATTATAAATTCCAGTATCTTCAGTTGTGATGTTTGTGATGGTCAGAGATCCAGTTTGTTTGTCCAGCTTCAGTCTGTCTCTGAATCTCCCATCAAGAACATCATCATATACAGTGAATCTTTTGGCCCATTTATCGATTTCTGCTATTAAAGTGTTTTCATCTCCAAACCTCCACAGAATCACATCATCATCCTTTATTTCAGTGTCAGAGTTTAGAGAGGCTGAATCTCCCTCCATCACTAACATCAGTCCTGAATCACCACACACACACACACACACACACACACACACACACACACACACACACACACACACACACACAAACAGAGTTTGTCACAGATTAAGATTATCAGTTAATGATTTATAAAAGTAAATGAATATCATTATTAAACACCAAAAGCAAAATGGAGTTTGAATTATTAATTGTATCTGATTAAAATATAAAACAGGTGAAACTGATATTAAACTCACCGAAGACAATGAGATTGAATCTCTTGATCTCACTCTTGATCTGTAGTCTATATTCTCCAGCATGTTCAGTTGTGGTGTTTGTGATGGTCAGAGATCCAGTTTGATTGTCCAGCTTCAGTCTGTCTCTGAATCTCCCATCAAGATCATCATCATATACAGCGATTCTGTCGGCCCGTTTATTGATTTCTGCTATTAAAGCGTCTTCATCTCCAAATCTCCACTGAATCACATCATCATCCTTTATTTCAGTGAGATTAGAGTTTATAGAGACTGAATCTCCCTTCATCACTGGCAGTGGTTTCACCAACGCTCCTGAAGAACAGAGTTTAAAGCTTTAAAATCACTTGATGTTGGTTTGGTGAAGTCAATAATTTAAATGTGACATTAATAATATTCTTCAGCAGTGCAAATACAAATGATGATGAATGAAAAGAGAAATACTTTTTTAAATGGAAAAATAACACAAAAATACTATATATATATATATATATATATATATATATATAGAAGAAAAAAATAAAAGAAAGTTTTATTATTAACTTAATGGAACAAAAGAGTAACAAGCAACACTAATGTACAGGTCGCAGACGTCACACTGACTCCGTAACTACATGAACAAGAGTTTATTTCTCCAGTATTAAAGCAAAAGTTGCAATAGTTTTAGTTCTCAGAGCAATTTTGTTTAAAGAAAGTACTGTATAAATGCAGATATGAACCCTATAATTTGTATAAAGCCAATGTTTTGGAATATACTATTATTACAAGAAGGTTTGCAGTGTAAGATTGTGTTGTCTCAAAATAGTAGAATAATAAACCCTTTAGTTCTAAAATACTTACAGTATAAGTATTATACTGTATTATACTGTAAGTTATATTGTATTACTGGAACGACAGTATAAGAAATCAGGGCTCACCGTTCATAAACTTATGTATGATGAGCATTTGGTTCAGTACAGCAATGCCCTTAAAATTGTGATGAGACAGACAGAGGACCCAAAAGCGTTTGCAGCAAGAAGTCAGTTTAATGAACGGAAAGATGTCCACAGGTAAGGACTGTTCACAAATAATATAAAGTTCAACAAAGGTCGACCCGCAGAGCAGGTAACAGGCGAGACTCGCCTTCACACTGGCAGTTGAAATCAGCTCCGATGCGGCTGCGAAACGACCGGAAGTCATTCATTTTCTATGGAGATTCGCAGACCGCATGCGAATGGGTCCGAAACGGGTCCGACCGAGTGCGGTGCGAAGAAAATCGTGTCCGTTGGTCATCCGGATGCGTTCAAAAATTTGAACTCTTGCGAAAAGCTACGGACGGTTCCTATCCGACAATTCCAGCGGAAGTTGACCGTTGCTATGGTACTGATAAACAAACCTGAATTATTAACTTTTAATAAAATAAATATTGATTTTATAACGATAAGTTGTGATGTCATTTTTTATTTTCATGACTTTCTAACGTTTATAAGGGCAGTTAATAGAATTAAATTGAAGGTAGACATTGAACTATTGACCACTATATCTCATTTTTTAGCCGACCTGACATGTCAACGTCCTGAGCAACTTTCCTCACGCAGCATAACCCTAATCAGAGAGATCATACAGAACTGACAAACTTTAATCTCTCCGCCATTTTTGTTCTACCCGCGTCCGACGCTTTTCACTGTGTAGTACGACGTCCGTTGGGAACGTATTGCGTATTACGGAGCTGATTTCAACTGCCAGTGTGAATGCAGCGTTTAGCCGCCTTTCCACTGCACACGACAAACGACCGCCGTCGGACCGGAAGTCATTCATTTCCAATGGAGAGTCGTACGGGAGCTGCGGGGAGTTCCGATCATATGCGTATGCGGAAAATTCGGATCCGTTTTGGGCTTTGGATCCGTTGAAATATCTGAACTTCTGCGGCTAGACCGTATCCGACCTGCCAACCGGAAGTGATGTATTCTAATAAAAACTATGAGCGCGAGGCTAGAATTACCAATATTTTAACTCTTTAATGTTTTTCTGTAAACGCTCGCTCTGTAAAATGTTGGTTATAATTAACTATAGCAGAAAAAATATGTTATAACTATTAAACCAATATTTATACTACTATATTTTTATTTGAGATGAATTGAGGGTCATTTGTTTTGTGCAGATATATTCATGCATGCATTACATTTATTAAAATCATTAATTTTACCATTGTGAATAATATATAGGGTAACGGTTGCTTCACGACCAATTTCAAAGTTCCGTGCGACTGACACTAGGGGGCGAAATGCGGCAATCGTATGCGAATGTCGTGTCCAGTGGAAAGGCTGACCAGCGAGCATAGACATATACACTAGACCTCACCTGGGGGTTCTAAGCATGCGTCAAAACCGCCGCCATCTTGGAACAGGGGTCTTGTCATAGGAAATAGCTAGGTAACGCTGCTATCTCTGCCTTTACGTCGAATTCATTGATGGTGGTGGACTTTTGTGCAGCGTATGAAGTTCACGGATGAAATCTGAACTAGGAAGAATGTTTTTAAAAAAAAAAAAAATAATAATTCTTTCTGGAATCAATGATAAATACATGTCTGACCGTTGGAAAAAAACAAGAAAAATCGCATTCATGATGATTTATGGTGATTTTATTTGCGTTAGACCTGTGTCTACTACATTGACGCTGATGCATTAAAGTGGAGGGGCTCCCCTGTTTCAAGATGGCGGCTCTATTGACGCATTCGTTCTAATGAACTGCCGTATCCAAGGTGAGGTCTAGTGTATATGTCTATGACCAGCGAGAGCGGCAGGTGAAATCAGACACCGAAGAACCACAGCAGCCCTGGCGAGCACGGGAGGAAGATCCCTCGGCTCAGGCCCGGTTCTAGAACCAAATCACTGAGGGTGCTTTTGAAAATAGTGAGTGTGCTCAAATGTTAAACAATATTCGATATTCATGATCGAGTAGCATATGTCCCTGTATGAGTTTTTGTCCTTTACATATCATTTCATTTAAGAAATGTTACTTTTTCCCCAAAAAAACAGCAGTAGCCTATATGCAAATGTGTGAAGTATTGAAACTGATTTTATTCTGCAGTTAAATAAATAAGTTAGTATAAGTAACGTACATTTTAGACTTTTAGTTTCTGACGACAATGAATCAGTCCTTTTAAACGAAACAGCTCGTTTAAAGATTAAATGCTGGTCACTCGATGTCGATCCCCACCAGATTTCGTCATTAGTAATTTTGTACCCACCACTTTTGGAAATATTGAGGAACAGACCCAGACAGCAAACTGACATTGAATCAACGTGGAAACGACGTCTCCCATGACATTGAAACAACCTTGATTTTGCTTATCGAATTAACGTTGAACCAACGTCAGACGCGGCATTCTTCAAAGCTAAATGAAAATCGAAAATTGGTTTGCTTTCATAACGTTGAAACAACGCGTTGATTTCAAGTTGATTTTCCGTTAGTTTTGAAAGAATGACGCGTCTGACGTTGGTTCAACGTTAATTCGATGAGCAAAACAATGTCAGATCAACGTTGTTTCAATGTCATATTTCCACGTTGATTCAATGTCAGTTTGCTATCTGGGGATTTACCTACTACAGATAAAACATCTCCAGTTAACTAGCAGAGCATTCATTTAGTTCGCTCTTAATTAAGACATCTAGCTACTGGTTAAATTTGATGTTTTTGAAATCAAGCTGAGCACTATTTGCCACTGCTGTCAGTTTCATGGATACAGCTCTCTTGTGTCTCGCGCAATCTTCACTCGGACGCGCACTGCGCGCACTTCAATCTACCGCCGTTGCAGAGACTCTCTATTCATTCCGATTTATATAGAGACATTTTATTGGCTATCTAAAGGCAGCCCCGTCGCTAACGAATTTCCTGAGCGGGACGCACACACGCAAACAAAGTGGGCAATTAAAGAGACAGACAGCGTCACCTGTGGGTAATACGATCGCGAAAGGGCACAACCAATTTAATGCATTAAACATAATACTGAAATACTGAAATAAATTCTGATTTGAAAAATCACGTTAATTGATTTAGTTTGTGTAACCTATTATTTGTATGAGTTTGAAATCCGTCTGTGTTTCTTTTGTCGGCAAAATAATCTGAGGGTGCTTTCACTTTTGTTTGAGGGTGCTTAGCACCCTCAAGCACCCCCGTAGAACCGGGCCTGCCTCGGCTAGTGGAGGTGAGCTGGCATCAGACAGGGGCTCTGAAACAAGCACAGCTGAGTAGCGACAATGTAGCAGTGGAACAAACTCACAGTAGCACAGTGCTGGACAGGACAGGACGGGACTCGCACGAGCGGTAACATACACAGACTAACACGTCTTGGCTCAAAGAATAATCTGGCAAAGAGGTAGAGAAAAGCAGTGGTAAAAGAAGCCGACAGAATTAGAAAAAAGGGAGAGCAGGTGTGAAAGAATGATTGGATAACGAGCATAAAGCAGCCGCAGCTGTAGATAATGAAACAGCGGAGAAAGCGAGAACACAGGATAACCAACAGGGGGAGACAAAGAACCGAGAAAGGGACCAGGATCATGACAAAAATAGCAAGAACCGAATATTACTCTCAAATCATTAATCACGGTATTGCAGAACCAAACAAGATGTTTAAAGTAATCAACAAACTACTTAAACCTACTAATTCACTCATCTGTTCCACCGTGCAGCAGTGCAATACGTTTCTGAAATTCTTTGCTGATAAAATTGAGAATATTTATCAGTGTATTACTTCTGTCTCTTTCTGTGCACCTCCTGAGATTCAGCCTTTAAATTGCCCGCTTACCCGGTTCCTTAGTTTTCAAACTGTCTCCATTGATTATATTTCCAAATTAATTATAACGATGAGTTCCACTACCTGTTCCCTGGATCCTGTTCCAACTTCTGTTCTCAAGGAGTGTCTGTCATCGATCAGTCCTCTCATTTTGAACATTGTTAATGCTTCTCTTACTACTGGAATTGTGCCCCAAGCCCTTACCCAGACAGCAAACTGACATTGAATCAACGTGGAAACGACGTCTCTCATGACATTGAAACAACGTTGATTTTACTCATCGAATTAACGTTGAACCAACGTCAGACGCGGCATTCTTCAAAGCTAAATGAAAATCGAAAATTGGTTTGCTTTCATAACGTTGAAACAACGCGTTGATTTCAAGTTGATTTTCCGTTAGTTTTGAAAGAATGACGCGTCTGACGTTGGTTCAACGTTAATTCGATGAGCAAAACAATGTCAGATCAACGTTGTTTCGATGTCATATTTCCACGTTTTTTCAATGTCAGTTTGCTATCTGGGATGTTTGTTTGCACCGCAGTTCAAATTGTCTGAACAGTTTAAATCTGATAGACTTCCTAAATTCAAATTAGGCTGCATAGTTTAGATCAGCCGGAACCGGGAAGTCATAAAAACACATTAAACTCACCATCCAGACGCCAGAAACACAAGCAGAGCAAAACAGGGAGAAACATCTTCATCAGTTTCAGTCCACAAATATGAAAAGACAAACTCTTCAAAACTGATAAAATGACAGACGTGCTGATGTGAAGCTGCTCTGTAGAGTAAAGTGAAGAGAAACTCTACAGATAAAATATCTGTAAGTGTTAATGCATGTGACCATCTAGCTCTATTTCTGATGATTATTTCACACTTTGAGCTCCTGTACGCCTCAACTTCCTGTAAGTCAATGATGACATTCAATAACATGTTAAAAACATCTTAAAGCAACAGTTTGATCTTGTCTTGATTTCCTGAGAGTGTTTGTCTCTGCTCTCTCCTGTAACTCTCTTCAGGACGTTTGTTCTTCATTTCTGATCAAATGTCTGGATTGTTTCTCCTCTCAGACTGATCTCAGAGTTTCTCTAATGGTTTAAAGGATCAGGAACAGATCGTCTGCTATAACTGTGTGTATGAAAGTGTCCTCTGATATCTTCACATGATTCATATTCCACAGCTATTATGACCCGGATGTGACGCTCTAAATGCTCAACAATATTATTGATCTGCCTGCACTGACACCATTATATGAGAACTGAACTTAGCTGGACAATGATGGTTTTCTCCAAACTTTGCTGTATTATTTCTCTGTTATCTCTGTAAAGCTGATTTGAAACAGTCTGTACTGTAAAAAGCGCTATATAAATAAAGGTGACTTGACTTACAGAGAATGGTCTGAAAAAGAGAAAATATCCCGATAGTTCACTCTGAATATCATGATTTGTTCAGTGATTTGAATAAAGTGTCTCAACATGTCCGTTTATTTTCTCTGAACACTTCAACATGTGCTTTTATTCTTCATTACTCGTTGCACAGTGTATTCGTCACATAACACTGAACACAGCGCCATCTAGTGGCTTTCTTGAGTAACAATCACTGGATCTGAGTGAATAACTCCTGATAACATGTGAGTTCAGGGTGAGCCACTAGATGGAGGAGTTGCTCCTCAGACGAGACCACAGAGACAAATCACACTAGCGATTTAAAGACTTTATCATTCCCTGTCGGAGGAAATGGAGGATCGATATGTTGTGTTTATGTATTTCACTGTGATCTCAAAGTATATTATAATGAGTCCCAAATCAGTATTTTCTCAGGTGGAAGTTGTTTGTTTATTATTGTAGTAGATCAGTATTGATCAATATTGTTAAATAATATCTACATAAAGTTAGTATTCCTCCACGAGGCGCTCGACATAATAAATGTAATAAATCATGAAGAGACTCTTGAACCTCAGAGTGAGAAACTTTATTGATAAAGGCAAGAAAATACATACAGCAAATATACAGCAGTTTAAAGTGAGATCTGTGTCTCTTTATTATTATTTTTTTTGTATCTGAGAGAAATATCAACAATAAAGCCTTACAAATAAGATTGTTTTAAACCTCAAAAATCGTCAAGCTCAAATATTCAGTATTTATTAAGAAAAAAAACACTAGAAGAGCAAATAACACACTTGAAGAACCTTTAAAGTTCAGCGTTCTGCTTTAGATTTCAGTAGAAAAGATAAAGAAAAATATAAAGCCAAAAATTAATAAACCTCACAAATATATATTTGGCAAATCAGTTTGTGAGAAATGACATCATCAATCATGCACCTGATGTGTGAATATGTGCTTGATCTCCTTCAGCTCTTCTGGATCTGATGTCATCAACCAGAATGATGACAGTAGCCACGCCCACCAGAGCAGAGAGGACCAATCGGATCACAGCTTCAGTAGGACCACAGCAGTGGACAGAGTCTGAGGAATAAACACATCAAACTGACATCAGATCAGTCAATAAACACTAATATCAGCGCTGACATCAACTAATATTTATGAATACACAGAAATATGATCAAATCTAATCAACAATCTATTCTATTGCAAGACAGTTTTTTTATATGGTCTGTCATCTCAAACTATAGACGATTTAACAATTTTATATGTAAATAGTAAATAAGACTATTTGAAGGAGAAGACAAATGATCTCTACTCACTATAGACAGAAACTCTGAATAATTTTGATGAGAATCTTCTTCTTGTAAACTTAAATTTCAGTAGTAGATAACCTCCAGTATCTTCAGTTGTGGTGTGTGTGATGGTCAGAGATCCAGTTTGTTTGTCCAGCTTCAGTCTGTGTCTGAATCTCCCATCAAGAACATCATCATATACAGTGAATCTGTCGGACCGTTTATCGATTTCTGCTATTAAAGTCTTTTCAAACCACCACTGAATCACATCATCATCCTTTATTTCAGTGAGATTAGAGTTTAGAGAGACTGAATCTCCCTCCATCACTGACACTGACTTCACTTCATCTGTCAAACACACAGAGAACAAACAGAAACAGGGTTTATCACAGATTAATACTGTTAAATCACTTTATCATGGTTTACTAAATTGAATGGTTTAAATTTTACATAAAAATTAACAATATAAAATAACAAAAAACAAATTGGTGAATGAATTAATTTAAATTGTGTAATTAAAAAAAAGGTGTAAACGTTATTTTAACTCACCAATGACAGCAAGAAAAAAACTCTTAATCTGTAGTTTATAACGTTCAGAATCTCTGAATGCTTTTGGTCTTCCTGAATACATCAGTAGATTATAACGTCCAGCATCTTCAGTTGTGGTGTGTGTGATGGTCAGAGATCCAGTTTGATTGTCCAGCTTCAGTCTGTCTCTGAATCTCCCATCAAGAACATCATCATATACAGTGAATCTGTCGAACTGTTTATAGATTTCTGCTATTAAAGTCTTTCCATCTTCAAACTTCCACTGAATCTCATCATCGTCCTTCATTACAGTGTCAGAGTTTAGAGAGACTGAATCTCCCTCAAACACTGATTTCAGTCCTGAATCACCACACACACACACAGAGAGAGAACAAACAGAAACAGAGTTTGTCACAGATTAAGATGATCAGTTAATGATTTATAAAAGTAAATAGTTTTAAATTTAAAAATGAATATCATCATTAAACACCAAAAGCAAAATGGAGTTTGAATTATTAATTGTATCTGATTAAAATATAAAACAGGTGAAACTGATATTAAACTCACCGAAGACAATGAGATTGAATCTCTTGATCTCACGGTTGATCTGTAGTCTATATTCTCCAGCATGTTTAGTTGTGATGTGTGTGATGGTCAGAGATCCAGTTTGATTGTCCAGCTTCAGTCTGTCTCTGAATCTCCCATCAAGAACATCATCATATACAGTGAATCTGTCGAACCGTTTATTGATTTCTGCTATTAAAGTGTTTTCATCTCCAAATCTCCACTGAATCACATCATTATCCTTTATTTTCGTGTCAGAGTTTATAGAGACTGAATCTCCCTCCATCACTGACACTGACTTCAGCAACGCTCCTGAAGAACAGAGTTTAAAGCTTTAAAATCACTTGATGTTGGTTTGGCGAAGCTTCAATAAAATACTTTTAATCATTTAAATGTGACATTAATAATATTCTCCTGCAGTGCAAAGCCAAATGATGATGAACAAAAACAGAAATAGATTTATAAATGGAAAAATAACACACAAAAAAACTAGATATAGATATAGAATAGTAGAGAAAAAAAATAAAAGAAAGTTTTAGTATTAACTTAAAGGAACAAAAGAGTAACAAGCAACACTAATGTACAGGTCGCAGACGTCACACTGACTCCGTAACTACATGAACAAGAGTTTATTTCTCCAGTATTAAAGCAAAAGTTGCAATAGTTTTAGTTCTCAGAGCACTTTTGTTTAAAGAAAGTACTGTATAAATGCAGATATTCAGTAAACTGTATAATATAATAGTAGAATAATAAAACTTTAGTTCTAAAATACTTACAGTATAAATCATTTGTTAATTCTTCTGGTTATTACTCCTTTATTCCTAAAACTTTACATGTTGTAGGTACACTATAATTTCAGAAAGTTACAATGTAAATTAGTTTTATTTGCGGGCTGTAATCTAAAGCGTTACCAAACAAACTCCAGCAGCTCGAGCTCTTACTAGAACCAGGAAGTGACATCATATTAGCCGGTTCTGTCAACACCAAGCGGCAACCTCCCCGTCTCTCTCTTGAAGCCAACACGGAAGTGAATTAAACTGCAATTCATCGAGTGGCCGCTTGAGGCAGGCTGCAGAAGCGAGTCAAATCTGTATCTCCCCCATGTTAAAATGCCCAACTTCACAGCAGAAAAAAACATGTTTACAACCTGGTGCCAAATAGTTGTTTTGGTCTGTCGCTAATTTTGCCCTTCATGACGACTGTGAGGGGGGTGAATTTTTTTACAACTCATCTGTTTAAATTATATTTAAGCCTTAAAGTTCTGCATAATTAAGGGCGTGGCCACTTGAGTGACAGGTGGATTCTTGCCGCCGCTTTCACTGCTAGTCGTTTGTCTGCTGTCTGTTAGCGTCACCCTCAGCTGTGTTTGTGCTTTTTCCGCGATTATTTCATACAATTTAATACATGTATTATACCTTCGCCTGTGCACGCCGTTGGATTCCGTCGTGTGGATTTAATGGGAGTGATAACAGAACGCTTAGAGCAGTGTTTCCCAACCCTGTTCCTGGCGGCACACCAACACTGCGTGTATTCGTTGTCTCCCTTATCAAACACACCCGATTCAACCCATCAGCTCATTAACCCACCTGATTATGAGCTGATGGGTTGAGTCAGGTGTGTTTGATAAGGGAGACAACGAATACACGCAGTGTTGGTGTGCCGCCAGGAACAGGGTTGGGAAACACTGGCTTAGAGTGCAGAGAGGAATTGGCTTTGACTCCAGTCCTGGTTTTGTGTCCGCGCCGTTAGCCATAGACATATACACTAGACGTCACCTTGGGGTTCTAAGCATGCGTCAAAACCGCCGCCATCTTGGAACAGGGGTCTTGTCATAGGAAATAGCTAGGTAACGCTGCTATCTCTGCCTTTACGTCGAATTCATTGATGGTGGTGGACTTTTGTGCAGCGTATGAAGTTCACGGATGAAATCTGAACTAGGAAGAATGTTTTTAAAAAAAAAAAAATAATAATTCTTTCTGGAATCAATGATAAATACATGTCTGACCGTTGGAAAAAAACAAGAAAAATCGCATTCATGATGATTTATGGTGATTTTATTTCCGTTAGACCTGTGTCCACTACATTGACGCTGATGCATTAAAGTGGAGGGGCTCCCCTGTTTCAAGATGGCGGCTCTATTGACGCATTCGTTCCAATGAACTGCTGAATTGACAGCTGATTGAAAAAAGTAAAGCCAATGGTTAAAGTTCATGTTTCATGAACATGATGAACCTGTGGAGAGGCGTCTCAGACGAAAGAACAAATCAGGCTGCTTCATGCCGTGGCATGTCAGAACCATCCAGAATGGGCGTGGCCTAAGCCTTTATATTGGCCAGCTCAGCCAAAGGTAGTCAGGTTAAGTCGACTGAAGCGATCCCCTGATCAAAGCCCCATACATTTTGAATGTGGAGGGGGTACGACCCACGTCCAAACTCCCTTGTAAGTAGGCGAGTATACTTGATACTTCGCACAAATAGGGGTCCAGGCTCCGTGCAGCGCACCAGCCAGAAATTACCACCCATTTCTGAGCGTAGAGGCGTCTAGTTGACAGCACTCTTGCCTCACGGGGATGGCAAATTAATCGGTTTGCCTGCATGAGGAGATCTCTCCTCAGCGCCACTGCAGCTGTACCAGCATGGAGAACCATAACTGGGTCTTCTAGAGAGGGGTTATTAGTAGTACTACACACTTGCTCTCCCTGATCCATTCGATGACCTGTGGTAACATCGTGACTGGAAGGAATGCATTCAGCGGATGTTTTGGCCAATCATGGGCAAGCACACCCCTGCTGTTCTGAGGCGAAGAGGTCTACCTCTTCCTCGCCGAAGATGCTCTATATTAGCTGAACCGTCTGTTGGGTGAAGAGACCATTCTCCTGGGGGAACATTGTCTCTGGATAACATATCCGCACCCTGGTTCAGGATGCCTGGCACATGCGCCGCCCTTAGGAAGCACAGGTTGTGCTGAGCCCATAAAATTCGTGTTTTGGCCATGGCGTGCAGGTTGCTTGACCTGAGAACGCCCTGGCGATTTATATAGGACACCACTGCCATGTTGTCTGTCTGGACCAGGACATGGTGGCCTTTCAAATCTGTGAGAAAGGCTTTCAGCGATAAAGTGACTGCTCTCATCTCTAGACAGTTTATATGTAGGCGTTTCTCCAGGCTTTACTATGAGACGAGCCTTCGTAAAGGGCCCTCCAACCTAGGTTGGATGCATTTGTCGAGATCACTCCTTTTAAACAAACCCATGACTGATACCAGTCGTCCACTTTCCAGGGAGCTAGGGCTCTGATAAAAAGTAAGTGGATCAGTTTACCCCAGCTGGTTCACTTTACCCCCTTGATTTCTCTGGTCTGTCTCAGTTTACCCCTAAGCTGATGGGGTAAAGTGCAACACAACCCTTTTTTAAAAACAATCATATTTTCACTGCCTTTCGTCCTGAATACATTCAGATAATTTCCATTGTTAGAAAACATCCTGAATTAATGGGAAATGTATAAATCTTACTGATGTATCATTTTAGCTCACTTAGAGGAGAGCAAATGTAAAAAAATTCTCACTTTACCCCACTCTCCCCTACATGTATTAAATTGTATGAAATAATCGCGGAAAAAGCACAAACACAGCTGAGGGTGACGCTAACAGACAGCAGACAAACGACTAGCAGTGAAAGCGGCCGCAAGAATCCACCTGTCACTCAAGTGGCCACGCCCTTAATTATGCAGAACTTTAAGGCTTAAATATAATTTAAACAGATGAGTTGTAAAAAAATTCACCCCCCTCACAGTCGTCATGAAGGGCAAAATTAGCGACAGACCAAAACAACTATTTGGCACCAGGCTGTAAACATGTTTTTTTCTGCTGTGAAGTTGGGCATTTTAACATGGGGGAGATACAGATTTGACTCGCTTCTGCAGCCTGCCTCAAGCGGCCACTCGATGAATTGCAGTTTAATTCACTTCGCATCGATCTCATATGCTGTGTCCGAAATCTCCAGTCAAACCCCTACTCCCTACCCCCTATATATGGGGTAGAGAGTAGAGCACTATATAGTGAGCTCACCACCATCATAAAACAACACTTTCGGACACTACTCGATCGTCTCGATCGAGCCGGCTCTGGGCTAAATATATTTTTTAAAATAAATACATTACATTATATTGAGCTTATTTCTCCAAAATTTTAAAACTAAAAGTGATTTCTGGCCGTTTTTGTTATAATGCGCTACTCCACACATGATTATAACTCATTTTTACGATCAGCGCAATGCATGATGGTATGTAGGGCTTGGGTTAGCGACCATCGGTTGTACACTACTTTTCAAAATGCATTCTGGGATACATTGAGTGGACTATATAGGGTATAATAATTATTACTATACATTCAGACAGCAGTACAAAATGGCGAGCTCACTATATAGTCCACTATACAGTGAGTAATGGGTGATTTCGGACACAGCAATAGACAGTAAAAGAAATGGACAGAGCGATTTCATTGGAACTCCATTGAGACGATTGAAGCCCGTTTTTGGCGATTTTTTAGCACTTCCGTCCCTGATGCGCAGACTCAAACAGAGCTTGACTACGTAGATGTGACGAGAGCAAACCGTTTGTCTTCTAGTGGCTGTGGCATGAGAAATCTGAATCATTCCCTTCCGAAACTCACAGAGGCGGAGAGTGTGAGTAGGAGCTGTCCATGAGCTAAGAGAAGGAGACAATTTTGCTAGGTATTCTGATTAATTATTTTGTAATTTTGGCTCCACGTTTCTCCGATTGCGCGAGCTTCTCCTGTCCATACGGTAATCTCTCTACTGTGCGACAGAGAGTCGATTGGGCATGACGCAATCGTTAGCCTACTTTCACTAAAACTGCTTCTACGGGGCCATAACATAAGCTACAAGGTAATGGAGCATTTTATACATTGTTGTTCCTTTAGAAATAAATAAAGGACAAATGTGGTCTTCAAACGCCTCAGATGTAAAGTTATTCGCTGTCAAAGTGACGCCAAAATGAATGGGAGTCAATGGGGAATGCTAACGCAAGTGAAGTTCTGCTACAAGATGGCAGCTCCCGCGAGGCTTCAACTTCCGCGCGATGGATTACCCCCTTGATCGATCTACACTTCGGATTCTGACCGGAAAAAGTAGACCTTTGAAATACTCATTTCAACATACTACGGTTTGGGACGCACTAATTCTATTTTCGAATACTATTTAGGACGGATAGTATGCGAATTGGGACGCAGCAAAATCTGAAAAATGAGGCCTACCCAGAACAGAAGTGTGAAAAACTGCAATACATCTCAAATCCGCTAGGGGCCGGTCCCAAAAGGGAGCAAATATCCATAGACGCCATGTTAAAATATCCGTTTTCACAGCATAAATTCATATGTGTACAGTTTGGTCCCATGGACTTTTATTGTAATCTTCAATAGGCTATGTTCCGCGTGCCTGACAACTGTGAGGGGGTGAATTTTTTTTCTAACTCCTTAGTTTAGAATAGATCATATTTAAATATAAAATGTGGCGGTTAACTTTGATTGACAGCTGATAAGGCGCTGCGCCGAGTGAATTTGACGTCTCGGCCATGATCTGACACAACACATCATACCACCTCTGTATCCTTTCTGAAACTTTAGTATTTTGTATTTCCTAAGATTTTCCAGTATGGCGCCACCCATACCACCCATAAACAGCCTCAAACTCGTTCTTCAGAGAGTCTATGGGTGACGTTACAGACGCTTTGTCCATATTTTTTACAGTCTATGGGCGCAGTTCAAATTGTCTGAACAGTTTAAATCTGACAGTTATATGACATCATCACTGAACATTCCAAATCCCAAATATCGACTTTAATCTCAAATAAGAGTGTTATCTCTCATCAAAATCACACATTATTTGTTCTATATGAGAATAACAGTGAATGTTAATCCTTTCTGACTAATTTAACCAGTAATTCATCACATCAGAACAGAAACAACTGAAGTCATAAAAACACATTTAAACTCACCATCCAGACGCCACAAACACAAGCAGAGCAAAACTAATTTGAGAAACATCTTCTTCATCGGTTCACTGAAAAGCCCACGATAGTAACTCTTAATGTCTGAAACACTCAGATTGACCTGAAACACGACTGAACTGATATTTATCAGTGTGTGAATCCTCCCCCAACATCAGTTAGTTTCCGCTCACACACTCATCTCCTTTAACATCACGAACATCAACAAGCTTTTGCTGATCTCACATTTACAAATGAATTCTGGCCCTGAATCAAAACTAATAGCAGAAGAGTGAAATATTGGCTTAGATATCTGTATCTACTGGTGTGTTATTTATTTAGTGATGTGAGCGGTCAATCATATTTGACCTCTGACCTGTCCTCTGACTCTTATTCACTTTATTTCAGTGTAAAGATGTTTTGTGAGGAAGATTGTGAGCTCCTTATTAACAAGAGAGAAAATGAAGAAACGCTTCAGCCAGAAACTGCTGACACACACAGAGACCACAAACACCCAGCAGAAGCTGTTTATCCCCCGACAGATCAAACCAGACACACTGATGTTAGTACAGATAAAATAAAAGAGAAAAAAACATTGCAGGGTTAATTTAGACACAAAAGCCAGTTAATCACATGTATAATATTCAATTGAAATTTATTTGTATAGCGCTTTTCACAATATATTGTTTCAAAGCAGCTTTACAGAAAGTGCATTTCAGAAAAGTACATGGAAAATACAGTTAGCTAATCATGTATTAATTTAGGGCATAACATATTGCCGGCCTTGTGCCGTCACTTCACAGGCGTTTAGTCATCTCACCCTGTGATTAGATTTGACACAAACTGGTTGCGATCTTTGATGTCAATCTTTCTTTTAAAGCCACATTTCTGACATTTGTAAACCTGCTTTTTCCCCCAGCTTAAAAATGTCTCTAAAATACAACATATGCTCTCAATGTTAAATTCAGAAAAACATTTTTATGTATTTGTTGCATTACTTAAAGGAGTAGTTCACTTTTCAAATAACTTTTGCTGATAATTTACTCACCCTCATGTCATCCAAGATGTCCATATCATTCTTTCTTCAGTCGAAAAGAAATTGAGGTTTTTGATGAAAACATTCCAGGATTTTCTCCATATAATGGACTTCAATGGGAACCAAACGGTTCAAGGTCCAAATGAGAGTTTTAGTGCAAACTGTTCAAAGGGCTTTAAACGATTCCAGACGATGAATAAGGGTCTTATCAAGCGAAACGATGTTAAAAAACAAAACAACAAAGTTTAAGTTTTATAAGCTCAAATGCTCGCCTTGCTCTGTTCTGTGATGCGCGTTAGTATTATGGCGACGATAGCACTGTGTATAGAACCTTTTAGGGGTTCCAAATACGTAGCGCTGATAGAACCTTTTAAGGTTCAATATAGAACCTTTTCTTCTAAGAGTGTAGGGGCGACTTCGAACTGGTCTGAGTTTTTCTGAAACTGCCATTTACTGGGATTTTCACACACAACCATAAATACACATTATATACGCATCATAGTCCTTCACATCTATTGCAATCTTAAAATATCAAAATCGGCTGCTGGTGGAAGATCCTTTTCCTCTCTTTAAACTCTGGAAGTCTTCATAGCATTGTCCGACTCTGGGAAGCAGACACAGTCTGTCAGTTTACTGTAAATCTAGAGTAAAAACACATCTCTTTGGCTTAGCAAACACATTATAGACTTCTATAACTCAATGTTAGGCTTCATAGTTTAGATCCGCCGAAAGGTTTACTGTAATCTACCGGATCCGGGCCGTATCCAGATCAGATGGTGGACCTGAGCCTAGACACGACCACAACGCATCCCTGAAGAGTCAGCAGAGATTGTGTGAACTAGACTCTCCCCTCATCGACACGACAGCCGACACTGATCCTCAACAAACTCGAGCTCCAGACCAGCGTGACTCCGATCTTCAACCAGATGAACTGGAGAATATTCTGAATGTTCTGATCCAATCTGACCTATAATGTTGCCTGAATCATAATCACACACTGTTTGTTCATTGGCTGAGGAGAACTGGCCCCGACTGAGTCTGGTTTCTCACAAGGTTTTCTCCATTCTGTCACTGATGGATTTTGGTCTTTTTCACCATTGGCTATTTAATATTCAACAATATTATTGATCTGCCTGCACTGACAACATTATATGAGAACTGAACTTAGCTGGACAATGACATCATGGTTTTCTCCAAACTTTGCTGTATTATTTCCCTGTTATCTCTGTAAAGCTGATTTGAAACAGTCTGTACTGTAAAAAGCGCTATATAAATAAAGGTGACTTGACTTACAGAGAATGGTGTGAAAAAGAGAAAATATCCTGATAGTTCACTCCGAATATCCTGATTTGTTCAGTGATTTGAATAAAGTGTCTCAACATGTCCGTTTATTTTCTCTAAACACTTCAACATGTGCTTTTATTCTTCATTACTCGTTGCACAGTGTATTCGTCACATAACACTGAACACAGCGCCATCTAGTGGCTTTCTTGAGTAACAATCACTGGATCTGAGTGAATAACTCCTGATAACATGTGAGTTCAGGGTGAGCCACTAGATGGAGGAGTTGCTCCTCAGACGAGACCACAGAGACAAATCACACTAGCGATTTAAAGACTTTATCATTCCCTGTCGGAGGAAATGGAGGATCGATATGTTGTGTTTATGTATTTCACTGTGATCTCAAAGTATATTATAATGTGTCCCAAATCAGTATTTTCTCAGGTGGAAGTTGTTTGTTTATTATTGTAGATAGGAAAACAGTAGTCCTATCAGTATTGGTAAATAATATTTAAATCTACAGTTGGTAGCTTTTTTGCCATAGCTCGATTCAAGCGGTGAGGTTGTAATAGTGTTTTTAATTCCACTGGTACTGGTGGACACACACATCTGTACACATAAAGAAGAGTCTCGGCTGGTAAGGCTGTATTGCGTGTGAGGATGTTGGAGGTGAAGATTTATAGCTCTCCTCAAACACTGTGTTCATCCGCACTGTGCAGTTTCGAGGGTGTTGATAAAGTTGATAATTCCGCGAATGACTGCAATTGCAGATTTCGAACAGAGATGGCGACGAAGAGGAAAAACTGTAGACTTCAGCTTTAAAAAAAAATGTCAAGCTTTATATGTTCCAAACTTCTTAAATGTTTAACATATACATAAAGTCTGTATTCCTCCACGAGGCGCTCGACATAATAAATGTAATAAATCATGGAGAGACTCTTGAACCTCAGAGTGAGAAACTTTATTGATAAAGGCAAGAAAATACATACAGCAAATATACAGCAGTTTAAAGTGAGATCTGTGTCTCTTCATTTACTTTTTTGGGACAAATATAAACAAAAAAGACTTAAAAAAAAATATGTAAAATAATGAAGCTATAATAATGAAGCTCAAATATTCAGTATTTATTATTTAAAAAAAACACTGGAAGAAAAATTAACACACTTGAAGAACCTTTAAAGTTCAGCGTTCTGCTTTAGATTTCAGTACTTCCTAAAAAAGATTAAAAAATATATTTAAAGCCAAAAATTAATAAACCTCACAAATATATATGGCAAATCAGTTTGTGAGAAATGACATCATCAATCATGCACCTGATGTGTGAATATGTGCTTGATCTCCTTCAGCTCTTCTGGATCTGATGACATGAGCCAGAATGATGACAGTAGCCACGCCCACCAGAGCAGAGAGGACCAATCGGATCACAGCTTCAGTAGGACCACAACAGTGGACAGAGTCTGAGGAATAAACACATCAAACTGACATCAGATCAGTCAATAAACACTAATATCAGCGCTGACATCAACTAATATTTATGAATACACAGAAATATGATCAAATCTAATCAACAATCTATTCTATTGCAAGTGAGTTTTTATATATGGTCTGTCATCTCAAACTATAGACGATTTAACAATTCAAGAGGCAAATAAATAAGAATATTTGAAAGAGAAGACAAATGATCTCTACTCACTATAGACAGAAACTCTGAATACTTTTGATGAGAATCTTCTTCCTTTAAGCTTCACTAGTTTATAATCTCCTTCATGTTCAGTTGTGATGTTTGTGATGGTCAGAGATCCAGTTTGATTGTCCAGCTTCAGTCTGTCTCTGAATCTCCCATCAAGAACATCATCATATACAGTGATTCTGTCGGCCCGTTTATTGATTTCTGCTATTAAAGTGTTTCTAAACCTCCACTGAATCAGATCATCATCCTTTATTTCAGTGAGATCAGAGTTTAGAGAGACTGAATCTCCCTCCATCACTGACACTGACTTCACTTCATCTGTCAAACACACAGAGAACAAACAGAAACAGGGTTTCAGATTAATACTATTAAATAACTTTATAATGGTTTACTAAATTGAATGGTTTAAAATTTACATTCAAAATTAACAATATAAAATCAGAAAAACAAAATGGTGTATGAATTCATTTAAATAAAAATAAAAAAAACTAGGTGGAAACATTTTTGAACTCACCAATAACAGTGAGATAGAATCTCTTTCTCTCAGTGAACATCTGTCTCTCATGGCCAATCTCTAGCATATAAAATCCTTCATGTTCAGTTGTGGTGTTTGTGATGGTCAGAGATCCAGTTTGTTTGTCCAGCTTCAGTCTGTCTCTGAATCTCCCATCAAGAACATCATCATATACAGTGATTCTGTCGAACCGTTTATTGATTTCTGCTATTAATGTGTTTCTAAACCTCCACTGAATCACATCATCATCCTTTATTTCAGTGAGACGAGAGTTTAGAGAGACTGAATCTCCCTCCATCACTGACACCAGGACTGAATCACCGAACACACACACACACACACACACAACATCAACAACAAACAGAAACAGGGTTCATCACAAATTAAAACGATCACTTTATGGTTTATTAAAGTAAATAGTTAGAAAATTAAATTTGAGAATATCATCATTAAACTCCAAAAGCAAAAAAGAGTTTGAATTATTAATGGTATATTTGTGGGGATTAAAATATAAAACAAGTGAAACAAATATTTGGCTCACCGTAGACAATGAGATAGAAACTCTTTCTGATCTCACTGTTGATCTGTAGTTTATAATCTCCAGCATGTTCAGTTGTGGTGTTTGTGATGGTCAGAGATCCAGTTTGATTGTCCAGCTTCAGTCTGTCTCTGAATCTCCCATCAAGAACATCATCATATACAGTGAATCTGTCGGCCCGTTTATTGATTTCTGCTATTAAAGTCTTTTCATATCCAAACCTCCACTGAATCACATCATTATC